AATCATTGATGTGAACAAACGAAAATCATTGATGTGAACAAACGAAAATCATTGATGTGAAGAAACGAAATCATTGTATGTGAACAAACGAAAATCATTGTTATGAAATTAAAAGATGACTAAAGTACAATTAAATTGTAAATTTTAAATGAATTTATCTAAAACATTAATTTCATTTCGTTTCACGTAGATACCTACGTGAAATTACACCAAAAAATTGTATATAAAATAAAATACATATTAAGAAAATTTTTTTTTTGTGTATGAAGCTCACTTATTTTTCCTCGAAAACTTTAGTTAAGCTAATGAATTTGATTTCTTTGATCATCGTGCCTCAGTCAAAAATTCAAATCTTTCCTAGAATATCAAACCACACTCAAAATGAAGTCGTCCCTCTGAGAATGCACCAATACACATAAAGTACGTAAACCATTCGAAAATTTAAAAATGGACAATGATGAAATATTGATCGTCGAGACTATAGCGAAATATTGATCGTCGGGACTGTGACGAAATATTGATCGTCAATCAAACATCAGTTCTCAGAAATACATCAGCCCACTGAGAAAACATTGGTCGTCTCTCAAAGCATCAGCAGCCTTCCTTAACATCGGCCTTGAGTTTAATGATCGAAATCGGAAAGAAATCGAGCAATTTGTTTCACGTGGCAAATCGAATCCGAGCAAAAAAAATTGGGCTATTAGGTTTACGTGGAAAATCGAATTTTAGCAAAAAAATTGCGCAATTTGTTGCTCGGAGAAACGATCAAAGTATCCTCCAACAACAAATTAACCCGAATTTAACAAATTAACAAACTTTTAGAAACCTTAACTGAGTTCAAATATGATTAGCAGTCTTTAAGTCGGCACCAGCGAGGTGCAGGGAAGGTTTTTTTAAATTCTCAGATTCACTAACACACAGAAAATTGTCCGTCCATTTCGTTCGTGTGCAGTGAAAAAGATGCTGAATCACAAACATGTATTTCTGAAAGCTTTTCCACGAGATAGTTAGGGTGAAATATCCTAATTAGAATTCGATCATGGCGCGCATAGCAAGCAAGACTTCACGTTCTAATTTTATATTTACTTCCAATAACGTTTTAATATAGGAATTTACGACAAGGAAAATTATTTTCAGGAGAGAAAGATATGACATATTAAAATCCAGAATGATGAATGGAGAAGCTTACACTTTTTTATAAGGGAGAAAGTAGTTCAGACTTCAGCAAAGCGAGAGTTAACGTTGCAGCATTTTTATTTAATTAAGGAACCTTTCGAAATTTCTAACTTGCGTTTGCATTGGATTAGAAAGTTTGCCTCAATCATCATTGTGTAAAATTTAATTACTTTGCTAAAATATCGCAATTTAAACTGTTTGCTCTAATAATTAAATAACACACAGCATAGTTACTAATTCAATAGCTAACTCATTCGGACCCGCCTGAGCCTGTGTTTTGTTTCATCAATGATTCGCACAAAGGAAAATATAACAAATTTTATCCCATTCCTCAAATAAATTCTGTCTCAATGAAATTTAAATAGAATGGGTGCCGTGTTCTGTCATAGGCAATATTTCACGCTTCCCATATTCAATGAATTGGGAAAAACTGCCCTCTTATTCATTAATTAATTCGATGCTGAAAGATTAAATTCCCCAGAAAAAAAAGCATTTACCCGGCTGAACTGGCAAGATTATAATTTTCTGATAAAAAGTATCCATGGGCAAAATTTATCGTGATATTAAACCAGAAATTTAGTCTTTCAGTGGCAACTGAAAACGTTGGATGCCTAAATTACCATGCAAATGATCACTTAGAAATCATTATTAACAGGAACCTCTTGACAAAAGACCTGAAAACTTCATATTTTTGCATCACTTGTTAATAAAACCTTCCTAGCGAAATCGCTCTCCCCACGTGATAGCTCACTAACAATAACATCGATGTCTCAAAGGATATCCATTGTCTCTCATACAGAGATGACTTTGAAGTCAAAATGCCCTTTTAGGAGATGTCGTCAGAATTATTTTATAGCGGCAGGAGAGTGCCTATTTTCTCTGCACTTTGATGAACCTAACTCAGCTGAAATTCGTGTAAGCTATCGTGCACGGAAGTTTTAGAAATAAACTACGTTATAGAAGTAAATAAGTAAGTAAATTACGTTATTAAAATTAAATAACCTGACATGGTTTGATATTTTTTTAAACTCGCCAAACAACTTCTTTATAATGCCTCATATAAGTCATAATAGTTTTTATATTCAGGCACAGCTAAATTTGAACGTACATAAAGTTGAAATTAATTATTATAAACGTCGGATATTGAGAAAATTCTGTTTTTCCTTTTATATTGAAGATACCTCTCCATCATTTTTATTCAATCTGGCCGTAAAATCTGGATATAAAACCTAATCGTGAAAATGAACTTGCAATGAACACATTTTATTGATTTTTGTCAAAATTGAAAGAACAAAATAAAAACCAAACTTCCAAATTAGGGAAAATAAAACAAAAATAACCTTCTGTGGAATAACTTACGACTAAAAATGAACATACGATTTCGTGAAAATTAATATACAATATTATTAAATTAGTTAAGTGCGTCGTCTATAATGATTTTATCAGAACATTCTTTCAACAATAAAAACGAAAAATTATTGTAAAATATATTATTAGTAAAATTAAACTAGTGTTTTTGTAAAATTAATTTATAATATTATTATGCTAATGAATTGCGTCATCTACAATGATTTCATCAGCATATTCTTTCAACAATATAAACAACTAATTATTGTAAAATATATTATTAGTAAAATTAAAATAGTCATTTCGTAAAAGTAATTTACAATATTATTGTACTAATGAATTGCGTCATCTACAACAATTTCATCAGCATTTCTTTGAACAATAAAAATGAAAAATTCTTGTAAAATATATTATGAGTAAAATTAAACAAGATATTTTGTAAATAAATGTACAATATTATAATATTAATGAATTGCATCATCTAGAATGATTTCATGAGCATATGCGCACATCTAAAGCCACGTCAGTTCATGACGTATGCTAATGCGTCGCTTTGCTACGTATCCAAGTGAGGTTGGTGAATGACGTGCGATCGCCACGTCCACTTATGAGTGCAGCAGGTGTTGAGTAGAGCTTCGTGTCGGACTCAGTGTCAGACTTCACTTGGTGCACGAGCGTTAAAGTTAACACAAGGTAAGAGCTCTCTGATGTGGTAGAGTAATGTGCTGATATATGTTGTGTTTCGGGAGTGTTGGATATTTTTATGGTGTGCAGAGGTTTGAGACATGTTTACATTAATTTATGCATGTATTTTTCATACTTTGTTATAACTAAGCAATTTGTTTATATACTCAATGAAAAATACAATAAAACGTGAATAAATTTTGAATTTGTCTATTTTTTTAAATTAAAACATTTATTAAAGTGTGTTGTGGGTAAAGTAAGACATTTTTCTTAACATTTATTTGAAAAGAGCGGAAACTACATGGAAGCTGTGGCGTTTACAAACAATTTAATAACTCTTTCTTTAATCAATTTTTTCAATTATGCTCAGTAACTGACCTACTTTAAAAAATAAGCAGATACTTTTTAGCGCGGTAGAATCTGAGTGAATTTTGGCATTGCAAAATTAACAATGTGATTTAAACTTAATAATGAACCTATTAGATTACGTTATTGCTTAAGTTACGTATTAATCATAATTTACTCTTTAATGATCTTTTACTTACATATTTATTTACATACTTTTTAATAATCTCAAATAATGTCACTTTGTTCACTTCTGCCGACGTCATGTTTCTTTTTATTTTACCAGAACCTCTTATTTTGGACTAATTTTTGTTCGAACTTTTTTCATTTTTCACCGTTTGAAGTTGAAAATGGAAATAAAACTGAAATTTGGAAACCATTTTTTTATGAAAAAGTTTCATCAATTAGTTTCGTTGTTTCATCCTCACCAATCCGTGTTCAATTTTAAGGTCATCTGCAAATTTATCACAACACCTTCCTTCGTTGGTCAAACTTTGCATTTTTACATATTGCCTCTCAATGAATAAATAATATTGCTTTCCATATATTTTTGCTTAAGTCGTAGAGAAATTATATTTATTTTTCAATTAATATAACATAAAAATTAAATTTACGCAACTTATTACGTTATATTTGTCTAACTTACTTTTTGCTTATTTTTTTAAAAAAGAAGAAATTCTCATTTGTCTGTCTTTTATGTTAAATTGTGTGTTTTTATGTGAATTTTAAAGCCTTTACATGATTTTACGCCGGTTATTCCATAAACAATTATCGCTGCAATGTAATTTATTAGTTTAATTTCAAATTGATGATCGAATTTGTTTGAAATTAAAAATTTCTAATCACGCTCATTCTTTTCCAGAACTTCTTCAACCTCAACAATGAACCGTTTCCTTGCATGCTTCCTTTTGGTGGTCGTTGCCGCACAAGCCGCAGTACGTTTTTTTTCACAATTAATCAACAATTAAAAAGAAAAATTTTATCTTGTATTATATTAGATGATATTATATCATGTTATATTATATTATATTATATTATATTATGTTATGTTATATTATATAATATGCTCTCGAGTTTAATTTGATGATTTTGCGGTAACAAACTTATGCAATTCTGAATTCCTGGCACTCTTGTTAAAAAATTCATGAATAATAGCGTTTAAATTATCCACAAATAAAAATTATGTACCCTCAATTAAACACGTTAAATAAATTCAGAGGAGTTAAGAGTTACTAAAAATATCAGCGGTAGATTTGCACTAACGTTTTGAATTGATTAAAGAATGGAAATAATTCCGCTTTCTAATTTATCACAGCCAACAACGCAGTAAATGTAACAGAAGTTAATTTGGTATCTTTGAGGACGTTTGTACAAGCCACCAGCATTTACCACTGTTCAACGCTGTATATATTTCAATTTTTCTACAGACTGTCCAAAAAAAGTCCAAGTCGCCTGAAGATGTCCTGCAATCATATTACAACATGTACCAGGCTCTGAAGAAAGACGAAGGATACCCCAACACTTTCAACCGCGCTAACCTCTTGGCTCATCTCAAACAATCGGACCCTGAAGCTTTTGCGTCTCTGACATTGGAATTCGCTAAGCGCACCGGGCGTTCCGACTCAGAGACCTTGGAGACTGTCTTCAGAGGCATGGCTGAGGAACAAGGCTACACTGAAGACGATCTTAAGTCCACTCTTAAGAAAATGATCGCTGCCGGCAAGTTCCCAGACCTCGAGGGACTGGCTCTGGAATAAATGCTCGCCATTTAGCTTGAGTTCCAGTAATTGATATTTTATATCCGAAATTTCAAGATTGACATGACATCGATAATTGTCATGGATTTTGCATTCCGAATCAAAATACAATAGCAAGCTTCTAACATCTTTCTTTATATTCCCTCTTGACGCGATCGAATTATTTTATCTATATTCTTAGTTTTGGCTGCGGTCTTCATAAGATGGTAATTAAAAAAATGCGCATCCCAATTCCCCTGATGCTTGAATTAAATTTGTGATTTATGCATCATACAAAAACTCTGGCGATTATTACAACTCGCGGCAAGTTGAAATTATGCTACCAAGACAACATTGCAAGAAATTCATACATTCACTCAGACAAATGAATAATATAGAATAAAATGTCACTTTGACAAAAAAAAGTGTGACTACGGCCTTGACTGGCACTTCATGCAAAATTTGCCTTACCTCTTTACTTCATAAATTGAAAGTGAAATATATAGAAGCAAAAAAATTAAACGAAATCATTAATCTAAATTTAGACTCAGTCTCACTTATTGTTTGGAAAAAGAATAAGCCACGAGAAAAAATATTGAATCCAATAATATGAATCCAAAACGGAATATCATGAAAGATTTCAAATTGGACGATTTTGTTCCGTTTAATTATTTACATAAATCGTAATATATTTCACAGCCATTAAAGAGTCAATAAACATTTTGTTCGAAGCAAACATCGTACACTTCTACTCGGGAATGTCCTTTTTTATTGCCTAATTTTATTAAATTATTTTCCAAAAAATTCCTCGAAGCCTGAAAAACTTCCAAAATTAGAGCAAAGGCCCAGAGGTTCCAGCTATTTTTCAGTACTTACCGCAATATTGAGCCTCGCCATGCGTCTTCCGCTTACGCCCCTTTAGTAAATCTTCCAAAAGTTGGAACATTTTACTGCCCAAGAGTTTAATGCGATAAGTTCGTGAACTTTTCATTTTATGAAGCAAACAAAAAAATTGGAATGGTCTTCTCATGAGCCCCTTCGGGAATACCGCTAGAAGATCGTCCCCGAAAAGATCTTTAATTTTCCTAGACCAGGAATTGCCGATCAGACTTTTTTGATTGCCAGGTAATGAAAGAATCGTGAGCCACGGCTGAAGTATTTGGATTTAATGCCTGGAATTATTCTAAAACTTTCTCTTCACTTTACTTCCTCTTAAAGCTCACATTATTCCGCGGCTGGAACATTAAGAATTTAATTAAAAGATTGATTACATTTTTTGGGGGTTTTCGTCAGCTTCATCTCAGAATTCAATAAAGTTTTCATGCCATTATCTGCGTTAATCAACGACTACATCAACAATGTCGATCATTCATGCAAGTTGACAGATCAAAATTGACAAGCTGGAATAAGTAAATGGAAAATATTGTGAAAATTCATAATAGGGCACGTCAAAATTATTATCATATTGAGTTTCTTGATGCACCATTATTTATTTTTCTCATATATTTTGTTTAAACCGCATATTTAAGCTTTTTTCTTGAAAAAAAATCTTTTCGACATCATGTTTTACCTCCATTTGACCATTAATTTAATATGGGAATAAATTACCCAATTTTTAAATACTTCCCGTCCGTATATCAATATTATATTATTAAAACTAAAAATGAAGCCCGAGTACAATTACTTGTACCTACTCACTTATAACTTATTAAAATGATTCATTTATTTCTATTCGTATTTATTCCTTAGAATGAATGAAGACAGATGAAGAAATGAATACTAAACAAATTTCGTTGGATGAAGATGTTATATTTGCGAGAATAGCAGACCTAGACAAATTAAACAGCAAATGCGTGACTATTCATGCCATTGGAATGCATGTATCAGGCCCATGCATAGCCTAACCATTGATCTATTCGATCTCGACGTCCGGAGCTGCCGATAGTTCATTTGTGCTGAGAGAATCGAGCTGTTGAGGGGAAGATAATCCTGATACTGGCACAGGTGAGAGCACACTTGTGAGGGAGGTTATGAGTGGAGCTGTTATGAGGGGTGGTATAGTAAATGGTGAGGGTTATGAGGGAGGTTTTGAGGTGAAGATAGTCCTGATACTGGCACAGGTGAGAGCACACCTGTGAGGGAGGTTATGAGGGGAGCTGTTATGAGGGGTGGTATAATAAATGGTGAGGGTTATGAGGGAGGTTTTGAGGTGAAGATAGTCCTGATACTGGCACAGGTGAGAGCACACTTGTGAGGGAGGTTATGAGGGGAGCTGTTATGAGGGGTGGTATAATAAATGGTAGTATGGTGGTCGTGAATGGTTGATGTATTATTTGTGGTTAATGGTGCTGATGTGAGTGATGTCGGTATAAGTGATGGTGGTGTGAGTGGTGCCGATATAATTGGTGATGGTATGGTGGTGGTAAATGATTAAGAAATAAAACGCGTCCAATATTGTATGTACGAGTGGCGGGAAATAGTAATTTGATGAATGGGAGTGGCATGAATAAGTAATCTACTCACTCATCATAATCTACATAAGTAATCTACAGTACTATCATATAAATTTTTAAATCAATTTGTTGCTTCCTTAAAAAAAATCATTTCTGTTTTCGGACTTCGTGTATAAGGTTAGTTCCATGCAATACTTTTTCGAGGTATCTATTCTCTATATTTATAATTAACTTTAAATATTATCGCAACAACTTATTTCCATCCACATTTATTGTGACCATTCAGTCATCTTTTTGGTACAAAAGTGAATACTGGATCTAGATCGACCATACATCCGAATGTATGATATACGTACACTTACGCAAGTATCCGGTCGTATGATGAATGAACGCATAAACATACTTCGACTATAATTTTCTTCAAAATTACCTTGAAAGCACTATTCTCATATTATTAGAACAATTAACTCTTTTCCAATTGTGTCATGATAACAAACTATTTCCTCAAATAACGTTTATATGTTTTGAATCCGTTAAAAATAACTATTCGCTCATTCTTAAGCGATCGATATTTATGAAAATGTATAAATAATTTCATGTGATTCTTGTTCAGCAGTTGAGCAATAGAAAACTCTCTATTGGTCTTTATTAAAATTATTCATTAATATAATTATTATAATTAATAAAACTAACAACTAATATCATTATTACGTCACGAAAATTACAAGAATAGGCAACAGACCATGGGCCTATTTCTTCAATGCCGACACTTCTATTCTATTCTATTAGCATTATTATTATCATTATTATTATTTATTATTATTATTATTTCTTAATCATGACGCTCTTCGAATCCAGCTTTATTAAATAAGTCTTAATTAAAAATTCACAACAATTATCGTTAGTTTCTATTAAAATCCATTGTAACCGATTGGCAACTCTGATAATTGAATTGACTTGCAATGGAGGGCTTCCCTCTAAACCTGCGCCGTTTGTTGGGATTGAATCACAAGCACAGCGGGAGGCAAGCAGGCGTCAGCAGCCTTTGTTTGGCAGTTTGCTGCTCCTTTGTAGGGCAAAGGCCTGATGATGGTAGAATGCTGCCCCTCTGTAGGACAAAGGCCTGACGATGGTAGCATGCTGCTCTTCTGTAGGACAAAGGCCTGATGATGGTAGCATGCTGCTCCTCTGTAGGACAAAGGCCTGATGATGGAAGCATGCTGCTTCTGTGTAGGACAAAGGCCTGATGATGGTAGTATGCTGCCCCTCTGTAGGGCAAAGGCCTGATGATGGTAGTATGCTGCCCCTCTGTAGGACAAAGGCCTGATNGCCCCTCTGTAGGACAACGGCCTGATGATGGTAATATGCTGCCCCTCTGCACGACAAAGGCCTGATGATGGTAGCATGCTGCTCCTCTGCAGGACAAAGGCCTGATGGTGGTAGCATGCTGCTCCTCTGTAGGACAAAGGCCTGATGATGGTAGCATGCTGCTCCTCTGTAGGACAAAGGCCTGATGATGGTAGCATACTGCTCCTCTGCAGGACAAAGGCCTGATGGTGGTAGTATGCTGCCCCTCTGTAGGACAAAGGCCTGATGAATGTAGTATGCTGCCCCTCTGGAGGACAAAGGCCTGATGATGGTAGCATGCTGCTCCTCTGTAGGACAAAGGCCTGATGATAGTAGTATGCTACCCTCTGTAGGACAAAGGCCTGATGATAGCAGTATGCTGCCCTCTGTAGTACAAAGGCCTGATGATGGTAGTATGCTGCCTCTCTGTAGGACAAAGGCCTGATGATGGTAGTATGCTGCCCTTCTCGGTAAACTGTAATTATCATCGATATTTGTATGCAAGGAAGCAGTTCGAGCGGTTAGCAGGAAAATGTCTGAAGGTTGTTTAATTATTATATCAAATAAATTTTATTACGTGAATTTGTAACGTCGCAATTTTTGTATTGAAGTACAATATTGAGATTGAATAAAGAACGGAATTTAGACAGATGACTTTACCAGTCGTTCGGTAATCAGTTAGCTGTTCTTCCAAGGTTCTGTTTAGGTTACTTATTATTGTGGTAACAACTGCGTGAATTTCATCAAATAACATTTAACTGCCGGATAATTTGACTAATTTCACAAAATTTCATCCGGGCTTCAACATTTTTCTTAAAGTTCCTTTAAGTATTTCAAGAATTATTAACAACTAAAATACGCAGTATTTTGCTAGATTCTTGCTTGAAATTTAAATTCTGCATTAAAAATTTCCTATTAGACTCCGTAATCGATCCACCACCAACACATTCAATGCTGCAATTCTCGTACTGTAAATGTAAAGATCTTTAAAAAACTCCAGCAGACAAATTTTGCAGGAAAATAATTCATACTTTGCAAATGATCAAAAACTCGATATTTTTCCTTCATTTAATAAATAAACTGCAAATACCGACCAGCGTGCAGCCGCTCGAATTTATTCCCCAGGAAAGGCCCGATCATTTTAAATGATTTCCTCTTTCAGGAAATGAACTCGACCTAAACGGCAGGCGGTGGATCGGTTTATCGAAGAAAAATATTGCAGTTACCCCAATCAAGGGAACTTTGGCAGGACGATAAATCTCCAAGCAACAAATTATGGTTTCAAAAGTTAGTGTTCATTTTTTAGGGTGTTTCCCGCTATGGGTTGAGTGGAGGCCGCTAAT